TATGTAAAAAGTTTTTATTAAATCTAATAAAGATAAGAGCAAGGTCTCACCTTTAACATTAAAAAAAAAAAAAAAAATAAAAAATATATTTGTCTTATTTTTGGAAATGATAAACATAAAATACCAATTGAAGAATTAGTACCAACTAGTACTGGAGTTTGAAACAAAAAAATAGCAATATCAATACAAATAAAACTTTCAGTAGCAGATTATGATTTTACAAAACTTTCAATTACTCTTTCAGTATCTTTATTTGCTAAGATTCCAGATGATCCTATTCAATCATTTTATAGCAGACAAGTTTATGTTTCATTAAAAGATACTATATTTCAAGCTAGCTCAGCTCTTAGACATGCTACTGAATTTTATAATTCAATAGAGCAATATTATATTAATACTAACTCATTGCCAGAAATAGTTATAGTTTATACAGATGAAGGCCCTGATCATCATTGTAATTTTGGTTCTGTTCAAGTTTCACTTATTGCACTTTTTTTAAATGGAGATTTTGATTTAGTTATTGCAGCACATATAGCACCTTTTCATTGCTGGGCAAATCCTGCTGAATGAATAATGTTTATTATTAATTTGGGTTTTTAGGAAGTTGCACTTCAACAAGAACAAATGTCTAATGAATCAGAAGAAATTTTTCAAAAATTATCTATATTAAATTCCATTTGTAAAGAAGCACAAAAAAATTCTATTTTAAAATATGAATTACAATTTTCAATTGACAAAGTACAAAGTATATTATTTGATCGAATCAGACAATTAAAATTACATGATGATTATTTTGAAATTAAAGATCCAGTATCTGAAGAAGATATTGAAGCATTTTTTGAAGTAATAACTTTATTTTAATTAATTTAAAATTATATAATTTATTTACAATAAATTTAATTAATTTAAAATTTATATAATTTATTTACAATAAATTTAATTATTTTATTAAAAGATAATGACTTGAATTGATCCTGAATTAGATAAATCTATAACTACAATGAATCAATTACAAAAAAGAAAATCTTATTATAGTTTTATTAAAAGCCATTGCCGTGTTATAAATTATATGTTTCAGGTATTATTAATCTATAATACTAGTAGATATTATTAATTTCTAAATTTATTATAATTTATTAACTTTATATCTAGATAATGAAATGTAATAAAAATGAATGTAAAGTATGTAAAAAAGTTCAAATGCCACAAGATGATTTTCAAACTTTATTTTTTATTCTGATCCTGAACCATTAGAAAATAGTAAATATTATATTGAATTCGATATTAGTAAATATATAATATAATTTATTAATTAATATATTAATTTAGTTAGACCAAGATCACTATAAAGATTTTGATAAAATTTATGGCCAACCAACATTAGAAAAATTTTATCCATCAGCAATAAATATAACTTCTAATGAAGAAATAAATGAAAAAAAGACTGGTCAATTTGTTAACTCAAAAATTTGATATACAATTTTATGTGAACACTGTGTCAAAATGCGATGTGTTTATAGTGATACAAATTTAACAACTAATATAGAAATTAAGCTTCAATCTACTCTTGATGCAAATAAGTGTTAGATTAAATCTTACATGTGAATCTCCTATTGAATTGACATATTTTTCATGGCGACTTAAAAAATTTGATATATGCTATTATTGGTGTGGAGAATCTGAAAATCTAATAGAACCATTAGATACACTAAAAGCTGAATGGAAAACTATATATCCATTATGTGAATTTTGCAAAAATAATGGAAAAACATGGCATAAAAGAGCACAAAAAAGTTTCTTTCAATGAATAATAGCGATAATGAGGAGGAAGATAATGGAGTTAGTAAAAGTAAGACAAGCAAAAAAAGAAAGTCTTAACTATTACTATCTAACTTCCTTAATCAGCTATCGATGAATTCTTCAATTAAATAGTTTAAATAATTGAGAAATTAAATGTTTATTGGTAAGATTTCAAACACAATTCAGGCCTTTTTTACTTTTGGCTATTTTTCTTGAGTGGAAAAGATATAATCACTCACTATATCAATTACACTATAATTAAATTTATGAATATTATAATAGTTATTTTATATATATCTTATCTTTTTTAAATAAATTTATATCTGAACGCTGCTTTGATTATATATAATTATTATTGTCAGACTGAACCTAAAATTAGGTCCCTTCAAACCTAAATTAGGTTTTATCAAACGCGAATTAGGTTCCATCGAACCTGAATTAGGTTCTATTAAACCTGAATAAGGTTCCGTCAAACCTGAATTAGGTCAACGAATCTGAATTAGGTTCCATCGAATCTGAATTAGATTCATTGAACCTGAATTAGATTCATCGAACCTGAATTAGGTTCCATCGAACCTGAATTAGATTCATCGAACCTGAATTAGGTTCCATCGAACCTGAATTAGGTTCATTTGAACCTGAATTAGGTTCATTCGAACCTCGTTTAATTTTACTGTTTGTTTAATTTTTCCCCATCCCCCCTTGCACAAATATTGAAAAATAACGTTAAACGAAATTTTAATTTCAAACGGCCTAAATATGGTTAATCATGTGTAAAAAATAATAATGAAGGTAGTCATGAGTGACACTTAGTGCGACAGGGGATTATGGAGTAAAACATCTAAACGAATTGATAGATACTACGTAATCCTGAAATTATGCCTGTCGTTAATCAGATTGAAGTAAATAAATTTCTTTACATAATCAACATATGTTATTAAAATTTTTTTTTTCAAAGTTATACTGTATCAATATTTAGATTCATCCTTGGAATAATCGAAAAGAAATTATTTCATATTGCGCTGAACATAAAATTATTGTGGAGGCTTTTTCTCTACTTACCAGGGGAAAAAAGTTAAATATAGTGTTCTTGTTAATATTGCTGAGAAGTATAATAAATCCTCTGCTCAAATTTTGATTCGTTGGGTAAGTGTATAAATGTATAAATTGTCTTATTATATTGATTGTGAATTAATTAATTGATGGAAATTTGAAGAAAAGTTTTAGCTAATATTTAAATATTAAATTTAAATTTCAATAGTCCCTTCAAAATAATTTTATTGTATTACCAAAAAACAATCATTTTACATTATTTTTGTTTCTATAACGATCCTTTTTATTTGATTATACATTGGTTAAATTTTTTAAATAAATAAATATTATATTAAATTTATAAACTTGAACTTCAAATGTTATTTTATGATACTTAATCTTAATTCTACTATTCGGATTTTATCAAATTTATCACAAATGAATTTGACAGGTGTTGACTGGGCGAAAACATGGAATCCCAAATTTCGAATGGTTTACTTCATGGAATAAAGTTTATAAGTCACTGAAGAATTTGCTCCTTTCATTTTATTATCTTATTGTCATATTAATTCTTCATATCGAAATCATAGTATGCAAAGAATGATCAAGAGTCCTGGTTTCATATTAAAAATATAATTAAGAACACGTGTAAATAATGTTTCGTAAAATGTTGGCACTGTGATTTTCGTGATGATAGCGAGAAATTCGAAATCTTATCTATCGATCATATTTTTCAATCATCAACGAAATTTTAAAATTGTCAGAAAACGAATCTGCTGATTCCAGTGAATTCATATCTCACATATGACCTGCAGAGGTCACACCTTTCAGAAATCATGAAGCCGATATTCCGTGAAATAAAATATACAACATTTGAGATTTCATTGATTTGCATCATTTAAAGACTTTTACTAGCACAAAATTAGCGATTATTTGACGATGCTATGATAAATTTTGCCTAAAAATTAATGCAAAATATGGTTATTGTTAGCGGCAAGACCGTCAAGACCCGCCACAGAAATTTTTTCCCTCACGAAGCACCCAAGAAATTGTGAAGGAACATTCACGGGAAGCCCCAAGACCGCGAAGAAAATAAGAAGAATTGGATTATGATGTAGAGGTCTGAACCGGGTTACACAAACCCGGGTGACCCGGATCAAAACGGGTGAACCGGGTTTCAAATTTATAACCCGGGTCAAATCGGTTGATTAATACTAACTGAAAAATCTCCCAAAAATGCATCGATTGATCATCTTTGCGCCTCCATGTAAGTGCCTATGCTATGCATTGCCCAAATTTAATCCACTCTGATCCTATGCCTTGGCGTTAAAATCCAAAATTGACACACCCGATCCTAT